CACATGCTTTAAGGAGTTAAAAAATGTATTCAATGATTAAATCACACGTGTCCTAACGAGTTAAAAACTTTATTAAATAATGAAAACACATGCTTTAAGGAGTTAAAAAATGTATTCAATGATTAAATCACACGTGTCCTAACGAGTTAAAAACTTTATTAAATAATGAAAACACACGTGTTTTAATAAAAAAGTTGTATTAAAGAATTAAAGCACACGTGTTTTAAGGAATTTAAAAGCTTTAACGAAATATTAAAATATGCGTGTTTTGAAGAATTAAAAGTTCTCTTAAATGATTAAAACACACCCGTTTTAAGAAGTTAAAAATCTTTAATGAAGAATTTAAAAACTCACACATCTGAAGAAACTTTAAATAAAACTTTATCAAAGAGTTAAAACTAGCATGTCTTAAGAAAGTTAAAAAGTATTGACGAGTTAAACTCATATAAGGAGTAAAACAAAAGTTGGTAAAAGATTCAAAACCTACATGCCTTAAAAGTTTGAAAAATCTTTATTTAAAGATCAATTCTCACATGTCTAAAGATTAATACTCACATGTTTAAAGATTAATACTCAAATGTTTAAAGATTAATACTCACAAGTTTAAAGATTAATACTCACATGTATAAAATTAATACTCACTAGCCTAAAGATTAATACTCACATGTCTAAAGATTAATATTCACATGTTTAAAATTAATACTCACTAGCCTAAAGATTAATATTCACAAGTTTAAAGATTAATACTCACATGTTTAAAATTAATACTCACATGTCTAAAGATTAATACTCACATGTCTAAAGATTAATACTCACATGTCTAAAGATTAATACTCACATGTTTAAAGATTAATATTCACATGTCTAAATATTAATACTCACATGTCTAAAGATTAATACTCACATGTTTAAAGATTAATACTCACATGTCTAAAGATTAATACTCACATGTCTAAAGATTAATACTCATATGTCTTAAATAGCTAAAAATATTTGGTTTAAAAGATTAAAACACCCAATTTGAAGGAGCTAAGTTTGAATCTCAACGAATTATACGTACGACATGGATTTACACCGGACTACGGTGAAGGAGCTAAGTTTGAATCTCAACGAATTATACGTGCGACATGGATTTACACCGGACTACGGAATTTTTCACAATCTAACTGAGCCCTCAAATTATATCGACATTCATGTTCTAACTTGTAAAATACGAGTTTCGAATAGTAATAAATCGCTACATACTTCATCGCACAATACGCTTTATAATTTATGAGAGAGAGCATCATGAAATACACGTGTTTACGAGTTAATTGTTTTTTACTGAATCATTGATGTTATGTATATATACATATATACAGATTATAAATATAACAATATATATATATTGAGGGGGGTGGAGGCGTATGTGTTATTATGTGTACGTGGATTAGCAAAATTACATATATCTTACTTCAATTTAAAAGGCGTTCTAAGCGTGTGACTAACTAAAGACCTGAAATTTAATGAGTTTTATTTCTTCATTGTCGTTACTGAGCTGTTATAAATATGGATATATATATATATATAGACAAAGAAAGAGAAGGAATAAAATAAAAACTTAGCACCTCTTGTTGTTCCAATCATCTATTAGTATGTTATTTAATCATTATCGAAAAAAGCGAAGCGATTATTATGCTGGTTTTAAACGTTCATAAGCAACTTCATTCTAAACAAGTATGAGAAAAAGTATCTAGCTAAACTTGGTATTGATTGGTAATTTTGAATATAAAATAAAAAAGTTCAGCTAATGGGCAAGAATTGATCGGCATATCTGAAACCTGCTTGACATGAGAGAGTCGTGGCAATAGTGTTGGTTCA